TAAAGGGGCAACTGTGGTTCAGCTCCAAATAATTGTCACCATGAAGAGTGTGTGCCCAGTGTTGCCCCATTTTCTGGTGTTTCAAGAGCTTTTGAAAACTGAATTTTTTAATGCAAGGTCTTCTGATTTTTAACATTTCTAATAAGTTCTGATTTAAAAAAAATACTTTTATTGACTTCAGAGAGCGGAAGGGAGAGAGAGAGAGAAAAAAAAACACCAATGATAAGAGAGAATCATTGATTGGCTGACTCCTGCATATCCCCTATTGGGATCAAGCCCACGGCCCCAGCATGTGCCCTGACCTGGAATCAGACTGTGACCTCCTGGTTCAGAGGTTGACACTCAACCACTGAGTACACCGGCCTGGCCAGTTCTCATTTTTAAAAAAAAATACATATTGATTCCAGAGAGGAAGGGAGAGGGGGAGAGAGAGAAACATCAATGATGAGAGAGTCACTGATTGGCTGCCTCCTGCACGCCCCCCACTGGGGATTGAGCCCTCAACCCGGGCTTGTGTCCTGACCAGGAATGGAACCCCAATCTCCTGGATCCTAGGTTGGTACTCAACCTCTGAGCCACACCAGCCGGGCCCAGTTCTGATTTCTTAAAAGCCTTCCAGATTTGGCCCCGGTGCTGTCCCTCTGCTTTAGATAAAGTATATGAGTCTCTTTTTAATTTTTCTCAGCTATAAAACAAAGAATAATCTTTACCATTACAGAGTTGTCATCAGCTTCAAAGAAGAATATGCATATTAAAGATGGTTTGTGATCCAAAGCTTAAGAAAATCCTGGCTACGGGTATGATCATTGGTTTCAAGCGAATGTTTTTTAATTTTAAGAAATGTGCACATTAGCGTAGCTGTGACGGTAGGTTGAACATATTTAGGTGCATGCTCCTAAGTCCCCACGAACATGACAAGAAAGAGATTGTGTTAATGGCATAAGCCCAAGGGGATGACGATAAAGAGGCATCACAAGCAACAAAGCTTTGGATGCTGGAAAGCAGATGGACTGCAATTGAATTAGCAATTGAATTAGGAATGTCTCCAAGAAGACTAAATCTGAGGTCAGCAGTAAGGAAGTTTGAGGAACAACCCAGTTGTCATCATTGAAGAACCCCCAAGGGGCTGAGGCACTGACAAGAGGAACTGTCTACATTCTGGAAGTGAGAATAAAATGGGGTAAAACTGTAGGGTCAGTTGAAAGACTATTCAAGAGTCAAAATAGTAGATGTGCTCAGCTCCCCTGCAGAGCTCGCCAGCCCGCTGCCTCTCTCTCAGCCTGCAGAAGCTGGGACACCAACCACAGTAGAGAGGCTACTCTACTGAAAGGAGAGTTAAGTGGAAGCTTCCATAATGGATGTGGAGGCTCCCCCAGCCTTTTCCCCTGCGCTCCCAGGCACTGGAAGCCTGACTTTGGCCCTCCTGACAGGAGGCCAGCAATTGAAGAAATCTGTAGGGAATCTGACCAAAGATAAAAGACAGAGGTGCTCCTGGCTAATGAAACAGGCTGGCGGGAGTACCTCACAGAATCCGCAGCCACCAAGTTCTACCCACACCCACAGAAATCCCTAGACAACTCAGGAGAGCCCATTCTTAAGCATGAAAAAAACAGCCATATGTAAGGAATGTCCATATGTAAGGAAGGCATGTCATATAAAACACATAAAGCAACAGAAGAAAATGTCTTGCAGGAAACCAGAGAGAAGAAAACTTTTAAAAACAAAGTTATTAGTGTACTTACATAGGATAGGGTATCCATGGAAAGAGACCAAGATGTGACTATAAGAACTCACAACTAAAGTGTTCCTGTAAACGAAATGTGACCCCCAAAATGAGTAACAAAGGTGGGAAAATAGTTGAGGAAATCTCCCAGGAAAAGAGAAAATTCTAGGAGTTGGAGGAACAGGCAAACTCGGCTGCACTACTGTTCCACAGGGGAACAGTTGTAATTGTTTTTCTTTTTAAATTTCTCTTTATTGTAGAAAGTATTACAGGTGTCCCATTTTCCCCCCCAATTGATCCCCTCCACCTCGCTCCCACCCCGTCCCCAGGCCTTCACCCCGTTGTCCATGGGTTATGCATATATGCATATAACTTCTTTGGTTAATCTCTTCCCACCCTCCACCCCTCTTCTCTCTTCTCTCTGAAATATGATCGTCTGTTGCCTGTGTCAATGTCTCTGGATCCATTTAGTTCGTCAGATTCTTTTGTTCATTAGCTTCTTAAAGAAGACCCTTCAACATTTCCTGTAGTGCTGGTCTGGTGGTGATGAACTCCTTTAGCTTTTTCTTATCTGAG